AACTTATTCCTGTTATTCAAACATAATTATTAATAGTTTCTCTTTTACTCTGAAAAATGAGCTATGTGTTACGTAAAAGTCTTTGCCAGAGTCAATTCCAGCTCTTAGAAACCCTGCAGAGGGTTTCTTTACAGCAGCAATTCTCAACCTGTGGGTCGTGACTCCTCTGGGAGTCAAATGACCCTTTCTCAAGGGTCGCCTAAAACCATCAGAAAACAGTGTATTTCCGATAATCTTAGGAACCAAGACACTGCCCCTCTATCCATCTCCAGGCGGGTCTGCCCACATGCAGGTACACCCACATACAAGTACCCGGCATGAAGACTGTTACCATGCTATACCATGCTTCAAGACAAAATTTCATTTATTTATAATTAGAAATAAATATGTCACAATATATGTGATTAATCACTATGCTTTAATTGTGTTCAGTTTGTAACAATGAAAATACATCTTGCATATCAGATATTTACATTATGATTCATAACAGTAGCAAAATTACAGTTATGAATTAGCAACGAAAATAATATTATGGTTGGGGGTCACCACAATATGAGGAACTGTATTAAAGGGTGATGGCATTAGGAAAGTTGAGAAACACTGCTCTATAGGAAACTAAATCTTTATGGAAGCAGATAGCTTCACCTTTCAGCCTCACCCTTCACCAGAGGGTTTGAACCACCAATGTTGAGGTTAGCCTAACTCACTGGGCTACCAGTTATATAGAAAACAAAAAGCCAAACCCATTTGTGTTAATCTGGGTTGACTAGAGAAACAAATTCCTCCAGCCCAAGGGCTCTAGCCTAGCTTCATGTGTCTTTTCATCAGGAATAGGAAGCAGAAGCAGAAAGTGTCTCCTGCTTCCAGGGAGGAATACTGGAGTTCCCAGAATTCTCAGGAGAAGGCCATGCCCATGTAGAGACCTCATTGGCGATGGCCTTATCGGCAGTCTAGACTCACCCACTTTGGAAGTTGACAGATTTATGTAACTGCCACACCCATATTTGACTCATTTTCTACTCATAGAAACCCATCAAGTTGATTCCAACATTATATAAGGTTTCTGAAGCTGTTAATCTTCCTGGAAACCGACAGCTTCATCTTTCTCCCAACCTTGTGAAAAGCAGTCAAACACGTACCCAAGAATGCCACCAGGGCTGCTTGTGTCATATCAGTCATCCTTATTCTGCCTTCAGACAGTGTTATAGTGCTGTTCAAAACCTTTTAATGGAAGAGCTATTCTCTCGTCCCCACAACTAGGTCGGTCTTTCTAATATTACCTCCACTTATGTGATGGGAAGCCTGTGCTGTGAAGCTCTGAACCTATGTGCCTTGTACTCCAGAGACTTTTACCACTTTCCCTGTGCACTGTTTCCTCTGCCCTCACACCCCACCATAAACTACCTCTAGGATACAATATGTTAGTATTCCCATAGCACAGAGTAGATGCTCCAGGGCATCTTTAGTAATATTTAAAGTGTAGAATTGTACAATTTAATATTGTAAATATTAATCTGCTGCACATCCTCCAGAAGGACCTGGGTTTTAAAACTTGGCCCCCCACACTCATATTGCTGATATTCAGAACCTAGCCCTGCCTTTGTCTTGTAATCTGATGGCAAATTTGTACATATTGATCTTACATTTAAAGAAATTAATTGGTGTTTGGGTTAAATAGTTATCTTAAATATATACCTAGAGTCCATTTTACTCTTTACCCACCCCATTTTTTTATGGTGAAACAAAGATTTTTTTTTTTTTACTAAAAGCAGCTTTAAAATGCATTGAATGTTGATGCCATTTGGAGCTTAGAGAAAGAGAAAAAGAAATTATCAACTGAATAGGGCTCCACAATAAGAAGCTACTGTAATTCATTCATTTAAATAAGAAAAACCCTGGTTTCGGGAGAAGAACAGAAAAAGGATAAATTTATAGGGCTTAGTACTAGCCAGCTACTTGATATGCCACACATAGTTTTGCCTTTTGAATCAACTTTTTTTTTTTTTAAATGGGAGGAGGAGATGCTTTATTTAGCTTCTTACAAAAGAGAACGATGGTTCAGTCTTCCTTATCTCCGAGTAAGAAAAGACATTTTCTGTGGCCCTATAGTTCGCACTCTGTCTTCTCACAACCAGTTTTCAAAACAAAAAGCCATCTCTTCCGAAGACTGGTTTTTACTTTCCTTGCAGTGGCTTTTGTGCAGTTGGTAGTCAGTCTTTCGATCAATATCTGGTGCGCTTTGTTCATGGCAGAAGGACCAGAAACCGAGCATTCAGTTTTGCCTCACCTCTCCTCTCGTCCCTCAGCCTTCAAGTGACTCACTCAGTCCTTCCTTCTCTCTCTAGTCTGTTCTTTCCTGCCAGCCTTCCTAGCATCTTACAAATAGTTTTCTTATTTGTTCTCCTTTATTCTCACTGCAGTCCATCCATGTCACCCTTCATTAACTGCTGCTCATAATCTATCTCAAATATAAATTTAAGCATGTCACAGTCCTACTTAATCAGTCCCAACAGCATCAAAATAATGATCCTTAATAAGGTGCACAAGGCTGCTGTGCAAAGGACTAGTCTCTCTTTGCATTCAATTTCCACTCCAGTCACACCAAATTATTTGCAATTACTGAAAATGCTATGCATTCTTAACCCCTCATTGCCTTTGCACATGCCCTAGCATCTGTTGGGAATGCAAGCTCACCCTTTAAGACTTAGCTCCTCTAGTACCTTAGCAAGCTTTTCTGGTAGCTTATCTCACCCACCAATTGGTGCTGTTCGTCTGCACTCCTCCAAATGGTTGTCTTCTTTGCCCCAGTTATCTCTCTGCCTTCCTGTCTAGACTATGAACTCCTTGAGATCACTTCTGTGTTGTTTTTATTTTTATTTCATCTTTTGAAGACAGAAGGGGGAAGAGATAAAAGGAAAGAAATCAGTAAATGAATCAGGTTGTATCTGATTGCTAAGTATTTTAGTCTTGCTTTCATTGGCTTCATATTTAATAAGTAAATAACAACCATACCCTTAATCAGCACCAATCTACCCTACAAAATTTGACTAATGGTGTCACTAACATGCTGAATCCGTGTCCAAGTTCAACACTGAAATGTCAATCTTTTAGCCTATTTAAGTACCAAAACTTATCCAAACATTCATTTTTGTGAATTTGTTTGATATCAAATGGCATCTTCCAGATTTTCTATAGTTCTTTCTATTCTCCAAATATTAGTAAAGACAGCATAAATACAACTGTGCTACAGTTGTAGAATTCAATCTTACTCAGCACCCTAGCTGTTTCAAGAAAATTTCTATTAAATTAAAAAACATGCATCTTTTATGGAAGATCTATAACCACAGTGCTTTGGTAATCTTGTGCATTTTTGCACATACAAGGTTTGTCAAAAAGTTTGTGCACACTAGTGGGATTTATAGACAAACTTTTTAAAGCCTCCTCATAAAATTCATGCAGTCTTAATCCATATACCAGTTGCTTGATAAAAATATTGTACCTATTTAATTGCCAATTGTTTGCAGCATAGGTACAGAAGAAAATGAGCTGAAGTGTATCTCAGGTATTCTTAGTTGTTTTGTTGTTTCCACTTAGTGGTCGCTTTTCAGCTATTCTTATCTCCCCTTCAGACATTCCAACTAGGTCCTTCAAAGGAAATTCATAAAAACTCACCAGCCCGTGAAACTACCCATCAACATTCACAGGCAGAACAATATGCTGCAGCAGAAATAAAAGGGTGAGAGCTGGTTCACAGCTTCTCATCAAGAGACCTGACTTGTTTATGTGCTTGTTGTTCTTAATGTGGAATGACCATTTGTATTAGAGGAAAACATTTTATGTAGCTCATTAGGCTCATTACAATGGGATTTTTACTTACCAAGCTGATATATCCCAAAGTGGAGAGCCAGAGGCTAAATTATATAGTGTCTTTTGATTTTTGTCTAAGGCTATTTTCTGCCTGGCATACTTCATTTGTGTATGTATGCATGTATGTATGTGTGGGTGTGTGTTTCTGCATAGCAGAAAATCAGTAAAAGAAATTGAAGATAAAAGTGTGGGCCATCCTAGTGTGCAACTGTGGATTTTCAAGACATTCGTTTGTGCTGGGCTCAGATAATAATTGGTAGCACTAGAACCACCTGCTAGGATCATTCCTGCCAAATTACTCCATGTCTGGCTAATATATTAAATAGTTTTTCAGGAACTTAAACTCTCAAGGAATGCAGACACAGGGGAGGGAGCAGAGAATCCGTTATTATCAGAGCCAGCTCATTTTAGAAAAATCAGATTTTTTTTTCCTTTATTTCTTTCAACGCTCAGAAATTCAATGTCCTTCCATTTTCCTGGTTAGATTTTATTGGTAAGTTACTTGGGATAAACCATATTTAGTAATTCTGTGTAAAACATAACACTGTTAATGTCCACAAACACAGCTCATCCACACAAGGCATTAGAACTGTTGAATACTCAGATCAAGGTAACGCAGGGGAAGACAGACCCTTTCTGAGGTTTTAAGCAAATCTCAGTTGCCAAAATGAAATGCCATGAACCCAATGCTGAACTTTACAGCAGGGAGAAGTGGCCCCAAATATAGTAGGATTAATTGACAAGTCTTATGCATAATGAAATGTTTAACAAGCAGCTGCTTCTGGTATATGTCTATAGGGAATGTCTCCTTTCAACTGTATCAAGCTTTTTAAAGGAAAGATTGTGATTTTTAATATAATCAGCATATTCTTACGGTTTGCGATTCAAATAAAGACCCTTGAGTTTAATATCTTTTGTTCTGGTCTCCTGATTATTTGCTGAGACACACACTCACAATTGAAGAAACCCTCAGACTCAAACTGTGTTTGTTCTTGAAAAATGAGCCTTCATCTTCTGTCTCCCAAATATTAGTATAATGAAATAAAAATTTAAAACTACTCAAATTCACCCAGTGATTGTTTGCTGCCTGCTTTGAATATGACATTTCATTCAGTTCTTTTGTGTATTTACAGAACTTCCTTATGGCTGGGAGAAGATAGAGGACCCTCAGTATGGGACCTACTATGTGGAGTAAGTGTGTGACCTCTGTGACTAGTCTCTCAAATACTTCCCTCATTATTCCACTTTACGGAGCACTGGAGAGAGTACTTCATGCTCCTGCAATCCAGCTTCTCACCCTTTTCAGGGGGACGAGAAGGTAGGGGTTGTGGGCAATTACTTCACTGACCCTGGGCATCCTAAAAGTTGCCTTTGAAGTAAATAGAGAGTACTAGAGGAAAGATGATTTACAGCTGGAGATGCAAGCTTTACTACATCAGCCTTTAAAAAGAACACTGGTCCATGGGAATCTGAAATGAGATCACTGCACTAGATGAGCTATTAAAGTCACTTCCAACATTGGAACTGTGTGATTCTGAAAGCACTAGAAAGACATTAAGGGCTTTGCACCATAATGATCCAAAGTTTTGAAGTATATAATTAAGCTTATGTCACTCTTGATAAAGCTAATGTCACTATCTTTTCATGTTCCTTGCATATCTAATTACTGCATTGTATGGCGATTGGGATTGCTTTCTTTTCAGTTTTTTCCTCACCTATGGGTCTCAGACAGACATTGCATCAGAAACACTATCGTGTACCTGAACCTACAAGTCTGAACCTACTGCCTAGGTATCAAAGGCAAAGTATATTATTACCTGGGAAAAATAGAAACCACAAGAATCCTCTGATTTTCTAATTACTTATTAATTTTTCATTACCTGTTGTCATAGACCTATGCTGTTTCCTGGTAGTTAGCCCTAAGTTAACTGGCTCTGACTCCTATGTGTAACTGTGCTCCTTATTCTAATAGCCTAATGTGTACACTGTTACTTGAGTCATTATGATTAAGGAGAATTTTGGAATGACATTGAAAAATCTCATTTGTACCTAAGGGAACAACTCTGTTAGTTTGACCTTTAGCTATACAACTTCAGTTTTAATATTCGGGTTCTTTAGCAGTCTGTAATAATTTTTATTTCCATTGTATTTTTTAATACCTGATACTGTGATGTGAAAATATATAACAACTCTTTTTAAAATGCTCAGTTAAAAATAAAGGGAAAGTGACCATGTTTTCAATTCAGAAGAACATTTGAAGGCCAACAGAAAAAGGTTTTGTGAATTGTGGAAATTTTCTCCCCTCCCCTAATAGTTTAGTCTATTTAAATTGGGTTGAAATTAACTATTATTTGCCACTGACACTGCTGAACATTTCTGAGATAATGCTGCTCATTTTGAATTTTCTATTCTGAGTGAATTGGAATACATGGACCAGAGGTGAAAGTCATTTGCCTGCTGTAAAGTCTTGGGCTAAATGCTCAAGTTCCCATTAAGTAAAAATAGCATATGGAAGCAAGTTTAGGGCAAACCTGAAGTGACCTGCTCCCATGGAAGTGCAAGAAATAGCCCGAGTTAGAACCACCAACAGCAGCAACACGATTTTGTATGATCGCTCCCAGAACAAGCTCCTTTTACTGGAGGATAATTTATTAAATTCAGAAGAGCAGGCTGTACTCATGATGCAAATTAGTATGGAGTCAGCTGAGCTGTGGAGTGTGGCTTGATTCGTAGATGAGTTAGGTTTTGAATCTCAACCATAGTAATCTGCAGTGAGTTTGCTGAAGGAGATAAAAAGCTGTTACTTGAATGGCTACTCTTTGGCACGCTCAGTTTGTCAAACCAGATGGTACAGTGATTGCTCTTGGCAGAAGCCTTGCAGTAGTAAACTCCAACTGCAATGGCACTTTTCTTTGTATTTATTTTAGAGGATGTGAACCTGAAGTAGATTAACTTATTTTTCAAAATGAAATTCTTTCCAAATTTCACGGCAGCCCATCCATAAGAAAACTTATATATTTATAAATGTTATCTTGATGGTGTTGTGTCACATGCCTTGATGCAGTTTAAATGTCATAGTCTGCTTTAATAGTGCGCATTCTTTGTGAAAGAATAATTCTGTTATTTAGTGGGACACATTTTAAAAATTCAGATATGAACAAAATTTTCATACCAATGACATTCCAAGTTATATGGTATCTGTCTATGAGTTTCTATAGCTTATGCTTTTATCACTCCCTTTATTTAATTTTTCTGATAATCTCCAATATTCTCCTCTCTTACTATCCACGGCAGTAAGTGTGTAAATCACTACTTCTATAGTTAATGTTGTGGATATAAGTAACCAAAAGAAGAGTATTTTAACGCTTTTGTTTTGTTGATGACATTTTAACCTAGGTAGTCGAAGGAAACAGATGCTGTTACACCCTGTACTAGAACCTTATGCTCGTTGTCAAATAATTTTAAGGAAGGGATTTCTCCTTTTGCATATTTCTACTCTCTTCTCCCACACATTACAAAGGGTATAAATACAAATTGCTACTTTTGTCTTCTAATGCCAGGGTGGCAAAGTGAGTCATTGTAGCTGATGATCTTCAAATGTGCCAGGGATCTTTCTAAACAGTTTTATTCTCTTTTGAGTGTCACTTTCTAATCGGTGTGTCTGTGTGTGTGTGTTTTAAGACTATGTAAAATGCCAGTACCTAATAATAATTTCTGGTGAAAGTTTACTTTTTCCCTGAGGGCCGTAGAGTTAGCTCGGTGGATAAGGCACTCCCTTGTAGTCAGAAGCAAAAGCATCCATGAGTTTTAGTGAAATCAGAACCCAAAGAATGTCAAGTACCGCTTGCCATATTTATTGCTCTGAGATGAAAAAACCACATCTGTTGTGCTGGTACCCTAGAATCCTAAACAGCACAAAGAAAGCCCACTTCCTTACTGTCAGGGTTTTGTTTTATTTCCCTGCTACCCCCCCCCCTACTATTATCATGAATGTTCACAAACTGCACAAGTAAATATCTGAGTTGACTATTCTATTTGGGTAATATTCAGCTTATCTAATTACAGTTATTCCAAATTTCTCATGATTTATGTTCATTCGCTTGTATTTACTCATGTCACTTACTTCTTGTTAAAATGGACTTTGCTGGAAAATGCCCATCATTTGGGTGAAGTATATTTCTACTGTGGAAATGCTGGACTATAAATGTCAGTGCATCCATATTAGACCTATCTGTAGCCTTAGACATCTTTTGTCCAAGAGTTGCTTTCTTAACCAGCTTCTTTGTAATTGCCTGGCAGACTTAAGCTTACTTCCCAGGGTCCCTCTAAAACATACAGTTGCCCATAGTCACTGTATACAATAGGCTAGTGGCGACCCTCTAGTCCCCCACATGTTTCTGCCTCTGCCAGAGTCTGTTGTGACTGGCCCAAATTCTAAATACTAGTTGAACTCATCTTGCATTATGCCATTCAATTTTTACACAATTGTGGAAAAACTTGAGTGTGAAAAAGTTGATCTATGATGCGGTTTGACAAAATTAAGTCACTCAATGGTGACTGCTGAATGAATGTTGTTGAGTCAGTTGGAGTACAGTAGTAAAATTCTGGAAGGATTCTGTACTTGGATTTCCTTTGAAGCAACTTAAATTGAAAACCTCCCACTTTCAACCACCCCCAAAATTGAACTGATCACTTGTCACCAAACCAGCCCTTATTGCATCAGATACAAAGCCATCTACTATAGATTTAGAATCTGTTAGTGGCTTTGCAGGTTTCCCCTGCTATCTGAAAGCACAGTGTTCCTGTGAACCCTTTCTTTGACGAAGTCAAGAAGCACTGACTGCTAATTTACATGGGGAAATTTTCATAGTATTCCCAGACCCCTCAAATAATCTACCAAATCATACCACATAACACAGTGGTTCTCAACCTTCCCATTGCCGCGACCCTTTAATACAGTTCCTCATGTTATGGTGACCCCCCAACCATAAAATTATTTTCGTTGCTACTTCATACCTGTCATTTTGCTACTGTTATGAATTGGCCAACCCCTGTGAAAGGGTGATTCAACCCCCAAAGGGGTTGCAACCCACAGGTTGTGAACCGCTGACATAACACTTTAAACCCAAAATAATGTGAACATGTTTTGCACAGACACATTTAAAAACTATGGGAGCTTGATGTTAAAATGCTGAGTATCATCTCTAGGAAAGGAACTTAGTGATGTCACTCTGACTGCTCAGGATGGACCCTGCTGCTTCTTTAACAGCTGGCTACAATAGTTTGCTTTTCACTATTGCTTTGTAAAAGTGAAAATCTTCATAGAATTTTTTCAGTTGGCAAAAACTGGTTTCAATGTGTAGACTATTTGTAAAAGCTAAGTGGTGTAAAGTGAACTTTTGAAAAGCAGGGGATACCTGCATTGAGTTTATGATGACGCTATAGTATATGCTAGGAGCTCTGGTTGCGTGGTGTTTATGAGCTGGGCTGATAACTGCAAGGTCAGCACTTGAAAAGCACCAGCCATTTAGTGGTAGAAAGATGGGTCTTTCTACTCCCATAAACAGTTTCAGTCTTGGGAGCCCACAGGGGCAGTTCTACCCTGCCTTATTAGGGCCGCTGTGAGTGGGCGTTGACTTGATGGCAGGGAGTTTGGATTGATAGTAATGACCCATGATGAGACAGGCGGATTGACACAGTAGTTGCAACAGTTGGCTCAGACACAGCAATTATGAGGATGGCATGGGATCCGTGGTGATTCGTTCTGTTATGCATAATGAGTGGAATGGACTGGACAGCACCAATAACAAACCACAACAATATAGTAAAGGGAATACCTTTACACTTTCACCAGCCTTGACTTGTAGGTCTTTCTGTGAACCCTTCTGTATTCACCAAAAAGCCTTCCCATTATGATCTGTCAAACTTAGGTTGGATAGCCTAACATAGTTTTCTTAATCTAAGATGATTTAATAATATGATATTCCACTTAAAAATATGTGTAATCGGGTACAGATAAGCTGGAAACACATGGAATCCAGGACAAATAAACCCCTCAGGACCAATAATGAGAGTAGTGATACCAGAAGGGAAAGGGGAAGGTGGGGGGAGAAAGGGGAAACTGATCACAATGATCCACATATAACCCCCTCCCAGGGGGATGAACAACAGAAAAGTGGATGAGGAAGACATCAGTCAGTGTAAGACATGAAAACAATAATAATAATTTATAATTTAATAAGGGTTCATGAAAGTGGGAGGGAGGGGGAAAAAAAGCTGACACCAAGGGCTCAAGTAGAAAAAAATGGTTTTGAAAAGAATGGTGGCAACATATGTAAAAATATGCTTGATACAATTGATGTATGGATTGTTATAAAAGCTGTAAGAGCCCTAAAGAAAATTAATTTTTTAATTAAAAAATATGTGTAACTCTTTTATTATAAATCCATTTCCCCCCTACATTTTACAGTCACCTTAACCAGAAGACCCAGTTTGAAAATCCAGTGGAGGAAGCCAAAAGGAAAAAACAGTTAGGACAACCTGACATTGGCTCTTCAAAACCAGGTAGAACTTTTTTGGGGGGGAAGCCATTTTTTTCTGCTAAGCATAGAACTTGTGAAATTAATATGCTGAATTGATAAAAAGTGAGTTTGATTGAATTTTTTATTATTGGGCTTTGAAATTCAACAAAGAATGGCTCATTTTTGTCCTTACAAATATATGAATAATCTTAATAAAATCAGAAAAATTTTGAGAAAACAAGATTTTCTTTTTCATACTGGTTAGATAGGATTAAATGCTTGGGAGAAGAAGGATGTCTTTTTTACAGGTTGCAGATTTTGTTTTGCATTTTTTTACATTTGAGGCCAGGCAGTGTGAATTCTCTGATTCATTGGGAAGTGGTCCCAAGTTAATTGCATAGCTCTAATTTCTGAAAACATTGTGTATTTTTCATTAACTGATATGAATAATGCTAAATACATTCCCCCAAATATTTGCATATATCAGTATTTCTAAAGTGTGGTTGTTGGATATTAGTGGTATCAGCATCATGTTTAAATGTACAGGTCCTAAAATTCTGGTCACCAGAGTTATCTGTACTTTGAAAAATGTTCCCAGGAAGTTCTTATATTATGCTCATTTGTAAAGTAAAGACAACCATAAATTCCTCTTAATAAAAGCAAAAAGCTCCAAGGTAGTTTTGAAGAGCATATGAAATGCAACAAGTTATCTGACAAGTGATTAATAATGAAGCCTCTATTATTACTAGAGACATGCAAGGAACACGCATACAAGGGGATACCCCCCCAAAAAAACTGGAATTGTGTGCTGGGTGGAGCGGAGCTTTCATAGTGTGCATTTTCCCACTATGCAAGCATCAAGCAACTCACTTTAAGTTAGTGCAGCGGAACAGCAAGGGAATGGAGCAGCAAGATCCCCAGGGAATGCTGAAGGCAGACTTTGGGGCCAGGGCATGGTGCCCCAACAGACTAGACTGGAAAATACTCCTAAAGGCCAACGATCCTTGAACTAACTACAAGTTTTTCTTTCTTGTGTTTTAATTTGTTCTTTGTCAGTGGTTTATTGTTGTTGCTGTTTTGTTGTACATTGTTGCTT